CTGGAGTGCAGTGGCCACTCCCGGCCACCGCAGCCTCGCCTGCTGGGCTCCGGCGATCCTTTCGCCTCAGCCTTCCGAGTAGCCAGAATTACAGGCATGTGCTACCACGCCCGGCTAATTTTTTGATTTATTGTAGAGATGAGATCTCGCTGCCCAGGCGGGTCTCGAACCCGCAGGCTAAAGCAATCCACTCACCTCAGCCTCCCAAAGGAGCGGGATTACAGGCTGAGCCACCGAGCCTGGCTAATATTTTTTAAAAAGCACACAGTTAACCTAATTTGGCTTGTTATCATAATTTACCACCTTCTACCTTCATTATTTTTACTCTTACTATGAAAAATTTCAAATACACACAGAAAACAAAGAGAACACTATATACTATCATTTTGATTTAATAGTTGTTAATATTTTGCCATATTTTTGGTATCAATTTTATTGCTGAATCACCATAAAGAAAATTTCTGTCATCATGAGATCTCACTTTTGCATAATTAAGTACATATCCATAAAAATAAAGGCAAAATACTATATAACTTCATAAAATATATAATAATTTTCTACAGTTCCTATTTACATTTCCCCAGATATTTCCAAAATTCCTTCGATAGCTGTTTTGTTCAAGCTATGAATCTAGTTAAGCATCAGACATTGCATTTTATCTTTATGTATTAAAAGAAAAATCTCTTCTAATCTGAAACAGCAACTCCCATCACCCAGACTTTTTTAATGTGTGTGTGACATTGACTCATTGAGGAATGGACTAATTTAAAATAATGTGAACACAATTTAGATCCAATACATCTCATAGGAACATTAATACCGTTTAGAGGCAAACACCAAATTTTTTATGTTATCCTTAACATATTTCCTTCAATTTTTCTCTATTTTTAAGATGTTTTTATTTTTCATTTATTTTTAAAACAATTTCTTAAGCTGATTGGGATATTTTAAACATCCATATAAGGTTAGGTCAGGTGTGGTGGCTCAAGCTTGTAATCCCAGTGCTTTGGGAGATCGAAGTGAGAAGACTGCCTGAGCCCAGGGGTTTGAGACCAGCCTGGGCAACATGGCGAGACCTCGTTTGTAAAAACAAAAAAAAATTAGCCGGGGGGTAGTAGCACACGCCTGTAGTTCTGGCTACTTGGAAGGTTGAGGTAGAAGGATAGCCTGAGCCCAGCATGTAGAGGTTGCAGTGACTGTGAACGTGCCACTGCACTCCAGCCTGGACAACAGAGTGACAGTCTGACTCCAAAAAAAAACCCCCAAAAAACCAGATGTGAGCACATAACATAAAAACAGTTAACAATAATGTATTGTGTATTTCAAAACAGCTGGAAGAGAAGAATTGTAATGCTCCCAATTAAAAAAAAAGATAAATGTTTGAGGTGATGATATCCCAATTATCCTGATCCTGATTTAATTATTATGCATTATATGTATTGAAACATTACATGTCTCCCAAAATATGCACAACTATTATATATCAATAAAATAAAAAGGAAACATATTCCAAAAGATTTCTCTGAAAATGAGTTCATGCTATGGGTGCTGTGTAAATGAAAGTAGATGAAATAGTCAGTTACACTAATTAGGCTTACAAAATTCTAAGTCAATAAAACTTACCAACTTTAAAGGTGCTGATTGTTTTGTCTTTTAAGAAGGCCTTATAATATCCCAAGCTATGAACAAATATAGAACTACAAACATTTGGGATGACATTCTGGAATTTGCAGTACCTTATGAAAACAAGGAAAAACATCTTCCCTGGAGAACTGTGATCACTAAGAAAAACCTTGTCAGTTCACAAGGGAAATTCCAAACAGAAAAACCCCTCAGATTCCACAAATTTCTACGGAAACAATTTCCATCCATAAAACAGCAACTTCTACCCTCCAGATGTTTTATGTGTTTGTGAAATGAGAATTGTTGGTATGTATGCGGCGAGACACCCACTAAACTATGTTCAGAGTAGAAACAGGGTGCAACGAGACTGGGGGAAAAGGCAACATGGAGTGTGAGGTTACAGATGAACTTGCTGGAAGAAAAAAGAAAACAAAATTTTTTTTGTTTGGAGTGGGAGTCTCACTCTGGCCCAGACTGGAGTGCAGTGGCCGCTCCTGGCCACCGCAGCCTCGACCTGCTGGGCTCCGGTGATCCTTCCAGCTCAGCCTTCCGAGAAGCTGGAACTACAGGCGCGCGCTACCACGCCCGGCTGATTTTTTGATTTATTGTAGAGATGAGGTCTCGCCAAGTTGCCCAGGCGGGCCTCGAACCCGCGGGCTCAGACAATCCACTCACCTCAGCCGCCCAAAGCGCGGGATTACAGGCTGAGCCACCGAGCCCGGCTGAAAAAAGAAAATTTTAATGTGAATACAGAAATGAGAGGAGTTTGCGTCGCCTACATTTTAAAGTACCTTAACTTACTGCCATTAGGAAAGAGGATCAGGAAAAAGGACTGGGCCGACTAAGATAACAAGGGTTCATAAAGAAAAGGAAATTAAAAGGTGCTAATTGGAAACTGGAACAAAGATAGCGTTTCCCTAGTTCAGAAAAGGCTTAGGGTAGATTTAATTAAAGGGAGTTGAGTTTATAAAGATAAGGGGTTAAGGCTTGGAGTAAGATAGACGATAAAAGCAATGATGTTCAAATCCCTCCACACTGTCCCAGATGATAGCCACTAGCCACATGTGGTTACTTAAATGTAAATTAACTTGAAGAAAGTTGAAAACGTAGTTCCTCAGTTATAATTGCTACATGTTAAATCCTCCACAGTCACATATATATAGTAAGTGGCTAACCTGTCGGACAGCACAGATGGAGAAGATTTCTCATTGCAGAAAGTTCTATTGGATGACACTGTTCTAAGAATATAAAAATGAGTAAGAGATAGAAAGGGGCAGGGAAAGAGGCTAAGGAGGAGAGACGGTGATTCATAAACTCCCTTAATATCATTCTCTCTGCCGGGCTCTGTGGCTCAGCTGCAATCCCGCGCTTTGGGAGGCCGAGGTAAGTGAATTGTCTGAGTCCGTGGGTTCGAGACCCGCCCGGGCAACTTGGGGAGCCCTCATCTCTACAATAAATCACAAAAATTAGCCAGACGTGGTAGCACGCGCCTGGAGTTCCAGCTACTTGGAAGGCTGAGGCGGGAGGATCGCCAGAGCCCAGCAGGTCGAGGCTGCAGTGACCGCGAGCGGCCACTGCACTCCAGTCTGGGCGGCAGAGTGAGACTCCAACTCAAAAAAATAAAATAAAAATCATTATCTCTCATGTGAGTATCAAGACAGATATCAAGACAGATTGGGGTTCTACCACACCTCCTCTCCAGCTGTTTACTGGGGGGCGGGGGAGGGGGGGTTGCTGCCTTACAAACCCTCTAGTTGAATGGGATGATTGGAGCAGGGCATGAGTTAGGGGTGGAGCCAGGGTTGGGCAGAGGGGAAGGCAATTCAAAGGATGAAGAGGACCCATGCATGCCTTAGCATCATGCTCAGAATCCAAGGCAGATAAAACTCTGACTTGCCACCGGAAAACTGCTCGTATGGGTTCTTTCTTCTCTGGTGCCCAGAGAATCTTCTGTCACTTGTAGTCAGACAATCCTACTAACAATGTATTGCTCAGACAGAGTCGTAGGTCCACACTCACATTCTATTTTACTTGACTAATGAGAAATTTGGCCTGGCCATCTCCTTTTATTCTATTATTCGCAACAACTGATTCCAGTCATAAGCACTCTTATTCACTGCAAGTCAACATAGGCAGCCTATCTCCTGCCCTCTGTGCTTTATGATGAATCACCTAGAATTTCAAACTACTGTTGGGTAACCTTCTTTGCCACACATCTCTAGTGAAGTGACAGCATCCTATAGACCCACTGGCCCTCAGAGATTTTCTTCATTTAGGGGACATTCTGAGCATCCTTTTGACTACTCAGCATTTTATCAGATAGGTCTCTTGTTCTAGACTGCCATTTTAAACTTTGAAGGCAACCAATATCTATAGGATTCCTGCCACTCACCATATTTACACTAGACATTGCCAGGTGAAAAGAAGACATCCTCAGAATATGTTCAGACACAGACTTGTGAAGGTCATTGTTTGTTTTCACAAATCTCAGGGCTGCCCTGATTTTCCCATTTGCATGTGTGGGCAGCCATTTCTTTAGTGTCTTCCCTGTATTCTAATTGGCTCACTCTATAGATTCTTGGCTCTGCACTCTGGAATCGTCACTGACTTTTAACCCACCTCACCTGAAGAACAGCTTTCTGTGTTTCCATTAGTACTTCAGGTTCTGAATCTTGTTTTAAAATTATCAGCAGGATTTTAATTGGTGGTTCTCATTCTTTACTTTTAATGAAGCTTGGTAATATTTTAACGCTTGCTTTATTGCATTTTTAAAAAGAATCTTAAAGAGAGAAAAATAATTAGGAAGTGAAAAATATTCATTTAGAGAGAAAATGGACTGGACTTAGGCTGATCACTTAAAGACAAGTATGACTTTTATGGAGAATCTAAGCATTGTAAGTAACATCGTTTTACTTGTTTGAATTAATCCTTTAAAAAAAATCCTCCCATTCAATATTAGCACATTTTCTGTCTCTTAAAAAATGAAAATAACTGAATATTTTCTAGCAGCTACTGAAACGGAAAGTTTGTGGTTTTCTACTGTGACCTAAGGGGTTTGGCTTTGAACACAGGCCAGAGACTCCTCTGAATAAGAAGAGCCCCCAAACTCATTTGTCTTTTTAATATGGGAAGAAACTAAAAAACCTGTAAATGAAGCGTAGGGTGGGAAGCCCCTATCAACTGCATAACCCTTCACATTTCTGGCCACTGTAATGCCTGCCACTGAAAGCCTTCAGTAAAAGAGTGAATCTTCCTTGCCCCATCAGGAGTTGCTTTTCAGCTGGAAGAAGGGTGTGTCCCTAAGCTTTTACCTGGGAGCAATGATGATCTTGTCAAGCATTTTGGGAGACCAGCCCAAGTTTTTAGGGTGGGGATCCAGACTGGTTATACGTACCTTCAGTCCTTCGCCCAGAGGAAGGCAGAAACACCTCAAAGCCTGCATGTAAGAACATCTACTGAGAAATTATTTTAATCAGACACCAGCTGAGTGGGGGAAAGAAAAAGAACAGAGAAGAACAAACAAAACTCCCTTGATCTTGCTTGGATGTAAGAGAATCTGGCAACGATGGACTGGAGCTTCTTCAGAACAGCTGCAGTGCTGTTCATTTTTCTGGTAAGTGGATTCTGTTAAAAATCCTTCATCATCATCCTCATTGTAAACAAGCGAGAACTTTTTAGAAATGTTAGTTGGTGTTATTTCTAACCTAAACTCATTAAAAGTTTATGTTAATGACAAGGTGATTTTATGAACCAGATTTTTAAATAGTGTTTCTCTCTTTAATTGAAGACTCGAGATCATATTAACGCATCAGTGTCAACTCATCATATAGCACCTCTGACATTGAAGTGATTGTTAAGTCATGCTGGGAAAATACTGAATTTAGGAAATTCACATCACTAGTTAATAGCACTTTGTCGCTCAAATTCTATTTTGCAGGTGGGCTTTTAAACTAAATATCACAAGTGTGTCTTGATGTTTACCCTAAACCTTTTTTCATTCTTTTGGTATCTTTGGTGGTAGAGTCACTATATTTTTTATTTTTTTATTTCTATTTTATTTTAAAGATGTGTGGTACAATTCAGGGTTAGGTAAAACATAAACATAGGATCCATATGAATTAAAATCATAACAGTTTGTGACTGTCCTCCCTATTCAAATAATCTCATCTGCCCTGTATATTGTTGGAATCCATACCAGTACTATCAAAAACCCCACACTATTTAACCGATTTTATTTACAACAGTATGTTTAGTTTCCCCCAAAAGAGGCAGTATAAGAGGTTTATAAATGACATACTAGGTGAAGGAATGGCTATAATTAAAGAGCAAGTATAATTATGACTATACTTGTTCTTATTACTGGAATGTCAGTAACAACTGTGACCAAAAAAAAGTTGTACATTTGATGGTCAGACGAATGTCGTGACATGCTTTATCATTGCCCCTTTTGCATGTTATAGTTTACAATTTACAGAGATAATACTAAGGGCAACACTAACGTATTACGTTAATTTTACTTTCAGCGAATATTGGAAAATTGTAGTCTCTTTCACAGTAAAGTTAATGTAATCCAAAAAGCCAGCTTGGCAGGATATAGTGCTGTAATTCACATTTGTTTCTACTTGCTTAATTTTTGAACTGGAATGTTGGGTTGGTATAATAACAAAGAGAGATCTTTGATTCAAGGGAAAGCTGGTTAATTTAAATTCAGTTTTTTAATTTAAGATGGGTCATAATCAATGGATTTAGTTATAAATGAGTATTAATAAGCTGTGGCGTTAGTGCCAAACTACCCTTCAAGCATGAGTCCTATTCCATGGAATTTTCAATGGATTGATGGATTAGGATGTGGCAGAGATCATACAGGATGTCATTTGAACATAGGGGTATTTGTGTTTTGCCAATAATAAGATACTTTTATTTTTAATTTTATATAAATTTGATCCATTAAGGTCTATTATAGTTCTACTCGGTTAATGTTTAGTCAGATGTTTATGTGCTAACTCTCAAAGAATCTATAAGTTATGCCTTATTTCTTGATTTACATGATTATTTCTTTAAACAGCTACTTCCTATTTAGTCACTCTCCAATAAAATGTATCAACATCAAAATCATATATCTTTATTGAACTTTCTGTGGAGAAAGGTCCCTGGGTATTTATACTTTATTTTCCAAGCCTAGATAGTTTTTTTGTTGGTTGGAAGGGTGGAGTTTGGGGGGATAAGAGAGAAAAGGTTGCCATATTTTGTATTGAAACCAATTCTCATATGTGCTTTATGAATTTTTTTTCTCAAAGAATGTACACAATAATGAATTAAATGTTTTATTTTCACATTGACATCATAACATTTAAAAACATTTCACTTTTTAAGACGAATTTCTTTTTAAATGCCAATTTTACCTGATGATTTTGGTAATTGTCCTTTGGAGTTATTTAATCTTTTTTTCTGTTTTAAAATACCCCACCCCCCACCCCAGTAATAACCAGCAATATGGCAAACTCTTCCAATTACCTTTCTGCTTGTCTCACTATAAATGCTTGCTTTTACCAAAAAAAAAAAAAAAAAGTAAAGTCTTTATATTCATCTCTACTCAAAGTCAATAAATGAAAATCCATAGTAGGAAACATATTTGTGCAGTTGTTAAGACATTTAAGGCATTTAAACTGGTGGTATTATTTTTTAAAAAACTGTTTGTGAACTAAGTACCTTTCTGTTTGCCAGTATATTGTGTAGTCTGCTCAATATACCTGAAAGTTTTAGACCTTGTTCAGATGAGTGGGTTGAACAGGGAGAATAAAACCAGAGGAGCTGCTTTTATGGTGACTGACCAAGATTGCTACATGACTGTTCCATTGTTCAGACAAGACTTCTGGACAGACAAGAGCTTACACCTGCCACATGCTATAGCACTGCAAGCCAAATGCATTTTGTCAATTCTGCATTTATTTTTCTTTCTTTTTTTGCTTTCATATAATCAGTGTATGGAGTGTGTGGAGGATTTAGAATGTATCATTTCTAGGCCAGAGAAAAATGTTACCTATAACCCAAATATAGGAAATCTGTGTGGATGGTTGTGACAGTAGTTAAAAAGTGCAGTATGGTCACTGTGGGAAAGTCAAATAGAGCCAACAGAATTTCTAGGGTCCTAATGATTTGTAAAGATTACTTGCAAACTTATCAGGTCCAATTAGTCCATTCAAATCAATACAAGTCTGAAGATGTCTTTCCCTATAAAAGTAGACTTCTGCAGCTCAAATTCAAAGAAAAAACAATTTTTATCTGTTACCACAAATGATCTGGTTTCTTCAGTTCATCATATTAACCTCTCTTCTCGTCTTTCCATGAATTAACATTTGAATTTTTAAACAGTCCTCTGACCACGTGATAAACTAACTCCACAATTTATACTCAGCTGGAAAATTCTTTAGGATATGAGCAGGAATTTTTCAAAGTATTTCTCAGTACTCAGGCTAAAATGCACAGAAAATAATATACATTGTATTACATAGTTAATGAATGTACTTAAAGCAAACATTAAAGGTCCTATAACTGTATTCATTAATGTCTAAAGCAAGAGAAGGATTAACAAACTACGACAGACCAAACAGAAGACGAGCAAAAGAAAGGCTCTTTATGCTTTCTTATGTATGTATTATAGTAATGTGCATTATTACTATATGAGATTAATGTTTCAGTAAAATATTTTATAGAAAATGGAAGCAATATTCCTGTTCACTATTCAGTGAAACTTATAAATTGAATTTAAGCATAATCATTTCCATTTATATGGTGTTCATAAAAGCTTTATCATTTCACTGCAGATTTAGGATTAGTATCTTTTTTCACATTTGCAAAAATAGGGAGTACAAACATCATCTCTCAATTGGTTTGAGTTGCCACAGAATGAAAACATTTTGTCATCCCTGTTTTAGGTAACAGCAGAATTTAAAGCACTGGAGAATGGTGTCTTAATTCTGAAGGCCTGGCCCTAAGGGACAAGATTTACTTGTATAACAAGGTTTATGAATCTAGAAAAAGGACGCTCTCATCTATACCCAGAGCACTTGATTTTTGATAACTTTGTCTCCAATATACATTCATCAAAAACATCCTGGTTCAGTATCCCTGTGTCCCAACAGGCATTGCTTAACGAATCAGCAGGAAACCTGCTCTGCCTGACATTGCAATTAGACTTATTAAGCTCCCTCAACTGAGGGAACACCCTTGCTGAGTGCTGGGTCATGCCACCTTTGCTGATTATGCTTGGCATGAAAATTCCTTTAATGAACTTAGATCAATTTTTTTAAAATGCCAGTGGCTGCTGACCCATGCTCTTAATTGGGCTATGAGAACAGAGAACAATCTTTGACACTTGTTTCATGGGAAACCCTACCTCCACAAATTAATGGCTGACTATTGCTCATAAAGCTACTTGACTATAAGTTATTTGAAGACAAGTTCTGTGTCTGATTCACCTTTGTATCCCTCATAGTGCCTATCACCAGTGCAAGATTTGCTCAGTAGAAGGCTAATCACACACAGCAGAGGTACCGGAAGGAAATTTTTGGATAGTTTCTATGTCTCTTCTCCCACACACTCCAAAAAATTATCAAGGTATAAACACGAAAATAATTACATCAGATCTCCCTAACATTTTAATGGTATAGAATGACATTTATTTTGTATTTTATCCAAGGCTTACTATAATATTTTTAGGGCTTGGGCCCTTTAAAAGTCTTAATCTAGACTTGTATCTACATAATTCAAATTCAATATGTACTTGTCAAATAAATTTAAAAAATAGTAATTAAGTGAAATCAACCCACTGAGGTGATATCAACTTCAAACTGATACCATTTGTCAGAGCAGTACAAAGGAACGACAAGAGGAAGTTTTAAAAAGAAGAAAGTTATTATATTTTAGCTTTGTTTCAAGTGCATCCTTGTGACATATATAATAGTTTAAAAATTTGATGCTTAACTAAAACTACCAAGTAACTGTAGAAGACCATCTCACAATTATTAAATGTGTTTAAAGAGATTTTTCTTATAAAATTACTTATTACTCTCAAGTCCATTTTTATTATAGGCAAAGAAGTGTGATCTTCAATATTAAAAAGAAACACTAAAACTGACTTAATTGGGGGAATTATTAAAATGAACATCCAATTTTATTTTCTGTCTGTTTTGTTTGGTTGGGGTTTTAAAAAAAATAAATGGATTGGCTCCTGAAACAGGTGAAGGGAAGACTCATTGAGTGTACACTTCAGGTGAATTGTTTACTGCTTTCTTAAAATTTTAGGATTAAAAGGCCCTTTTAGTCTCACATGCAGCTGAGGAAACTGAGGCACAGATTGATTTAGTTACTTACCACAATGCCCATATCCAGTGGGCAAGCAACTGAGATATACCTCAGCTTGACAATCTCTGTGTTCATCTTGAAGTGACTCTCCATCATACCTGCTTTAACAAACATTCCAAATTTATGTCTGAATCCAAACTACTCCCCTAATTGCCAGAAAGTAACCTCACCCTCACTCCAGGAACAAGATATAGGTCATTTAGAACAATGTCCTTTCATTTCCCTTTCCTCATGGATTGATTTTAATCATCACCCTTTCTTTCTTGCTTGCTATCGTCTTCAAAGTCCTTTCCTTTTCTGCCTATTTCCTCCTGCTCGCTCCATCACAACACTCCTATTAAATACCTTCTTTATGAACTTCTTTTCTTTCCAGTCAAAATATACCACTCTCCTCTTTCTTAACTTTCAAAATCCCACAGGTTTCCCTTTCTCAAAAAATTTCCTTGAACGCTGCATCTGATTCAGCCATCTTGTTTTTCTGTTTCCTCTCATCACCAAATTTCTTGAAAACCAACCATCTTAACTTCCTCCTCCTTCCATCCTACTCCCTAATTCCTTGATTTGGGCAAATGTATGTTCCATCTAACTGAAAATATTCTCTTGACAGCTAGTCGCTCAAGACCTTAGGATTCACTCTGCTCAATTTTACTATGTCATCTGATACTCTTTCAACCCCACCTGTTTCTCTGCTTTCCCTTTCTCTGAAATCCACTAAAATGTGTTATGTTTTTTTATTTTTTCTTTGGCCACTCCTTCTTTCATTTTTTCTTTGTTTCTAATTTGTTGTCCTTGTTCCCAGTTACATAAATGTAAGAATTCCCCTAGTTCTATCCTCAGCCACAGACTGTTTCTTTGCTGTCTCCTCTATTTCAGGAATTTCAAATTCTCCCATGATTCTATCCTGGTCTAGTGGATGTACCTCAAGTCTATGTATCCAGCTTGAACTTATGCTCAAAGCACTGATGAATATTTCAAATTGCTGATCATCTTTACCTGTGCATCTTTGGCATCTCAAACTCAATGTTTTCCGATCTGCTTAATTCTGTTACTACCTTATTCCCATGTCCAAAGTTTAAAACAGCCATCCCCTGGGATTCCTCCCTCTCTCGATTCCCACATTCCATCTGTTCTCAAGCCCTATCAAGTCTATGTATGCAGTACCCCTCCCTTGATCTTTCCCTGTCCATTTCCACTGTCTCTGCTCCATTGAGCCCCTCCACACCTCTACGCTGCTTTGGTACAGAAGACCTTGAACTGCTCACGGCCCGAGAGCTCTATCTCTTCTCACCACCCCTGCAAGCTGTTGTCAGACTAAACTTTAAAATCCACAATTTTATCATGCATTTCCCATAACTGAAATATTTCAATATTATTCTACTGCACACAGAGATTTTGTGCTAGAATTGGAAAGTTATCTGTATATAATTCAGTCTACTCGTGTCATGTTACAAATGAGAAAACCAAAGCACAGAGAATTTAGGAAACTGTGCAAACTCTAAACTCTGAACAAAAGAAGATAAGCTTAGGTCAACCTACCCAATTTTTAAGCAGACTTGGCAGCTTTTTAATTACCAATCTAACTGAGAGTTCTGACACTATGGTGTAACTTACTTGGTCTTCTGCCTAAGTTGCCTGTCATGGGAAAAAGAACAACCCAGCTTCATAAAGTTTGAAAGATTTCTTAGTCATCTGGCATAGTTATCCAAAACAAACAGCAAGCACTGACGCTTCAGTGTAGCAAGGGAAGTGTAATAACAGATAACAGATGCACATACAATTCTGTAGCCATGAAAAAATGCCTTCCAACCAGTCAAATAAGGTATTCCAGTCTCCCCAACACACACTCACAAACAAGAGAAAGGGAAAAGTGCTCATGAATTCCAAGTACCAAGAAGTATGCATTTACATTAATGTCTTTTCAGTTCTGCATCCAAGATGGACTCTACAAATAACATTTCAGTTATACATCCTAACCTTTGAGTTATTTAGTTCTCTTTTGTTTTTATTTGTGTTATATTGCTACTGTTGCATACTATTGATCACAAAGATAATATAAAATTAGATTAAAATCATAAATTTTTGAGTTCTTAAAATTGTAATGTCAATTCTTTGTAGCATGTTTTACTTGGTAATTTACTTGAGGGAATAGGCTATCTTACACTTTATTGTAAAACCAAGTGCAAATTTATGCTGAATTTCATCGGATTGTATTTAGCTATCAGTTAATATCTAAGCCTCAATTTCCTCATCTAGAAAATGGAAACAGTAATAGTGGTCACCGCATATATCTGTTGTAAAGATTAAAAGCATGGATTTCTTTAAACACTTTACCTAGTACTTAGTGATCATTCAGTGAGTTGTAAGAGCGATAGTCACAATGATTAACATTAAAGGTATATCATGAATATGTAACTCCTATAATGAAAACATCGTGTATGCAAACTATGATTTTCTTATATCAGTGATACAGAAAAAAATCTAATTGCAATAATGGTTTTCATCCTTTGCAATTCTGAAAAAAATCAATTGGAAGGTGAACATTTCTAAAAAAAAAAGTAGTTGAAAATTTCTTATTTCGGGATAGCTGAAAACTAGTTGATTCTAAGTGCAATTAAAATTCAATAAAAGCAAACTAGACTTCAAATCCACAATTTTTGAATGTCTTAAGTACATGGATATAATAAACTCAATATATAAATGTCTGTGTTCTTAGAAATACCTGCAGTTTTTAGAGAAAATAATTTAAATTGTTCCAATTTCTCACTATAAATCATGAGCAAAGATCAAGGTCAAAGCTGTAACTGGGCAGAACTCTGCTTGACTAACATCCTTGTTTGACTAGAAAAAAATTGTTTAATTCAGAAGAAAAGACTCATGGAAATTACAGACCCAGCAACTTGTCCCTACACTCCCTCATTTTTTTCTCCTTGTTATGGAAGGATGCATTTATATCATCTTTTTTTTTTTTGAGTTGGAGTCTCACTCTGTCGCCCAGACTGGAATGGCCATTCCCGGCCACCACAGCTTCGACCTGCTGGGCTCCGGCTATACTTCCACCTCAGCCTTCCAAGTAACTGGAACTACAGGCGCGCACTACCACGCCCGGCTAAGTTTTGATTTATTGTAGAGATGAGGTCTCACCCAGTTGCCCAGGCGGGTCTTGAACCCGCGGGCTCAGGCAATTCACTCACCTTGGCCTCCCAAAGCACAGGATTACAGACTGAGCCACCGAGCCCGGCTATCATCTATTTTTTAACACTAATAATAAAACATCAAATATGAGCTCATTTTGATATGAAGAAAATTGTAGTTTTTCTAGAATTTTTTATTCTCATATTTCAAAGTAGGTGAAAAAAATAACCATTTTAATTTTCAAGAATACTAGAAAACCTTCCATCTAGAATTGGAATATGAGTAGGCAAATATTCTGAAGCTTTCTTGATATCCTTCTGCTTCCCACCTTTTCTTCACTTCAAATATTTTTTTTTCTATTTCCATCTGTAGCTAGTCAGATCCTGAAACTAAAGCCAAATGTTTTAGTATCATAACTTACTTTTGAATGCCACTGAATAGCATCAGAGTAGCTCCAACTTTTTAGGCACAAGATTTACTAAGAGAGTCTGAGTTTCCAACCACATTTCGTCTGAATTCTAACTTCAAATATCCCACACGTGATTATAAGTATCTGCATAGGCTAAGAATTAAAACAAAACTTAAAAAGTAACAAAAAGCGTTCAAGACCCACCTGGGCAACTTGGTGAGACCTCATCTGTACAAAAAATAATAATAATAAAGTAACAAAAAACAGAGCAAAATTGAACAACAAAAAGAATTATTGTCATCATCAGACCTAAGTGGTAAACTAGATTCGTCTGCTATCCAGGTGGATAAAATAATTCTAAATGGCTCTCAGGGCTATTATTTGATCTCTTTTTGAAATGATTGGATAACATAAAGTATAAAGTATTGAATTAAAAACTAACTACTGTGATTATCTTATTTTTATAGGTGGTGGTAGAAGTTAACAGTGAATTTCGAATCCAGGTAATAACATATAGCAAATCCATTTTTCCCAAATTAAAAAAAAAAGAAAATGGCTTGACAAAAAATGATATATTTTCCAAAGAAAATTTATTCTTATAAATTAATGGAATCCTAAAATTAATAGATGATCAAAATTACCAATTTTCCCAATTTAGCATCCTTTCTTTTTGAAATTACAATTACCTCCTCCTCCAAAAAATCTCAGTGGGATATGAATTATGAATGAGGTGAATAATTACTATTACTGTATCCTATTCATTCAAGGTAAGAGATTATAACACTAAAATTGGCACCATCAAGTGGCATTCAATCAGAAGGCAAAAACGTGAATGGATCAAGTTCGCTGCAGCCTGCCGTGAAGGGGAAGACAACTCGAAGAGAAACCCGATCGCCAAAGTGAGTATCAACCCCAAAGCATAGAATTGAAAATCAGAATGGATAGGGTTAACATTTCAAAAGAACCTGTCTTTTAAATATTTCATAAGCATCTCTCACTGAGAAGTGATGATATAGAACAGAACGATAGTCATTCAGATGATGAAAACTGAAGTTCCCGAGGATACATTAAGAAATGTAGGTTCTGCCGGGCTCGGTGGCTCAGCCTGTAATCCCGCGGCTTTGGGAGGCTGAGGTGAGTGGATTGCCTGAGCCTGCGGGTTCGAGACCCGCCTGGGCAGCGAGACCCCATCTCTACCATAAATCAAAAAATCAGCTGGGCGTGGTAGCGCATGCCTGTAGTTCCAGCTACTT